TTATCAGGAAACTTGGTAGTTTCATACTGGTACTTTAACATAAATCATCTTCCATTACTTCTTTCTCTGTCCAAATATGGTTTTATTCTTCATAAATTAGGCACCTCCAAACCAACCTTCCCCCAAACAATTTTTGCCATACATTTATTTTTGTAGTTATTTTGTTCTAGTGAATGTTCTTTGGGCTATTTCTGTTATCCCTCTGTCTCTAGCAGCTTAAAATGCTTACTTTTCTCTCCATGTTTTAGGCCCTTTCCAACAGTGTGAGCTCTAGCAAGTTGTTCTCTAGCAGCACAGCTCCACATGAAACATCATTTGGTGAGGAAGTAGAGGTACACAATCTGCTCATCATAGATCAGCATACATTTGAAGGTATCTACATCCTAGGCTATATTTCACTGTTTATGAGAGAAATGTTTTGGGGGATCATGAGATTAGGAGAAGAGAGCCATCAAGTGTATTTGCTGGCTTGGATCCCTTGAAGGGTCCAAAAGTCCATGGAGCATCTTGAGGGTCATTTTATTGAGCTTCTGTAGATTTTTGTGGTTGCATGTTGCAGGATGTTCCAAACAGTATACTGAAATCTATATTTTGTTGAGCTCTTTAACTCTTTTTTTTTTTACTGTTTGTCTTCAGTACTCCATGCTCACCAGTTCCTGCAGAATGAGTATGCACTAAGCCTGGTCTCCTGCAAATTGGGCAAAGATCCCAACACTTATTTTATTGTGGGAACAGCCATGGTGTATCCTGATGAAGCCGAACCCAAGCAAGGCCGTATTGTGGTGTTCCATTACTCTGATGGTAAGGACTAATGCTTTGGATCTCTTTCTTCCTAGTTGCATGGACTTGTTTTCTTTGATTAATTATTATTTTGTCATGGAAAAAGCGGGTTAGGTTCCTATGTTCTTTTACTCTAAAACAGTGGTTCTCAACCTTTTTAATGCCGTGACCCCATAATACAGTTCCCCATGTTGTGGTGACCCCAGGTGCCAGGGGCGTGGCCAAGTGGGTGTGGCTGCCAAGTGGGTGTGGCCACCAAGTGGGCGTGGCCACCATGTTGTGGTGACCTCCAACCATAAAATTATTTTCATTGCTATTTCATAACTGTAATTTTGC